CACAAGTCTTGTCCAGACAGAAATGCAGCCTACACATAAAACTGAAATAACCGTTCTCATATACTGTATACGAAGGATCTCCGTATGAATGTTTATCATTTATGAATAGATATAAAAGCCGCTATAATACGAAAAAAGTTCAAATTCGGACCCGTAGCTGCTGTACTTGTTTGTGTCGCGACTAATTGCAGTCGAGCATCGCATTAATAGTTATGTACCCTTATATGTATTTAACATAAATTAGTTCATAAATTAAATACTATCATTAACTTGTCATGGACATTCATAATCATGAGACAAAGCAATAATTCTACATTAACGTGGCATGCATATTTATTTACTGATTAATTTAAATTATCTGTGTCGGAGCCCCTGCTGTTCGTGTTAATCAGCAAAACAACTTTGCTCCGCATGCTTTTTCATGGCAATTGAGCTCAGAGCTGGAGAGGATCTCCAGATAGTACCATGTTAACCAGTCGGCAACGTAGTACAGAGCCGCGCGCAAAATCCGAAAGATTCGCTGCGATTGACCCTCTGGTGAATTTTCAGCAAAGACTCAGCCATGAAGACCAAGGGGCTTTCAAAACAACTCGAGAGATACGGCTGTCTAAAGACACGGTTTGAAATAAATGTATAAAAACAATTGACAGATCCTGAATATCTCTTTGGACGTGGTAAAGGCCATCATTAAGAAATGGAAGCCACAGCCTAGATCGGGCTGTCCCTCCAAGAGAGCAGCCAGGAAATGGTGAAACTGGTAAGGAACACCATTGCGAGGCTAACGGCAACTGAAGGAGTCCCAGAGTTCAGTGGCTGAGAAGAGAGATAATGTCCGTGAGCCAACGGTATCCCAGTCATTCACCGACAGGAGCTTGTATGGAACTGAAAACAAACTCTCAGAACCAGCATAGAACCTGCAAAGAACTCGAGTGATCCTGCAAACATATGGCAACGTTTTTGTTATTGGGCACGACAGAATTGTGACTTTCTGTTTTGTTCAAATGTTAAAGTTCCTCTCCTCTATAGCGGGGATTGGGAAGTGTGTCAAGACTGATGGGAACGTAAATACAGCAAAGTACGGGCAAATCTTAAAGAAAAACACGTTTCAGACATTGACCTGGGATAAAAATTCACTGGACACTGGAATGTTTTACAACTAAGAAAGTAATTGTTTTTAAGTGGTCCAGTGAAGGTCCTGACTTGAATCCTACTGGGAATCTGCTGCAAGACTTGAAAACTGCTGCTCATCAGCGATCCCCAAGCGCCGTCTTAATAATAATAATTGCTTACATTTACATAGCGCTTTTCTGGACACTCCACTCAAAGCGCTTTACAGGTAATGGGGACTCCCCTCCACCACCACCAATGTGCAGCCCCACCTGGATGATGCGACGGCAGCCATAGTGCGCCAGAACGCTCACCACACACCAGCTATCAGTGGGGAGGAGAGCAGAGTAATGAAGCCAATTCATAGATGGGGATTTTTAATGAAGGACGGCGCCTGTCTACAGTATAGTGTCTCCGTCAATATACTGGGGCATTAGGACCCACATGGACCGCAGGGTGAGCGAACCCTGCTGGCCCCACTAACACCTCTTCCAGCACCAACCTTAGCTTTTCCCAGGGCTGCAACTCACATCTGGCAGCCCACTGAAGCTCAGCAGATGTGAGCCTGGTCAGTACCTGGCCTATCCAGGTATTGACCAGGCTCACACCTGCTGAGTTTCAGCGGGCTGCCAGTTGTGAGTTGCAGAGTGATATGGCCGTTGACTTAAGAGAACGTGAGCAAATCTGGCAGAAAGAATGAGCAAAAATTGCACCAAGCCCGCGTGCAAAGATTTTGCTACCATTATCTGTAACTCGTAGAAATCTTCCATTTGATTTTTCGGATTTTTGATAAAATAATCATTTTAAGAAAATAGCTGTTTTGTTTATTCCATATAATTAACCATCTGCCCTATTGCTGTTGTACGTGTATGGTTCACTTGCTAAGCAGACCAGACTGTTCTATGTATTTTGTCACCGCAAATCACGGCATGGCAGCGACAGTGTTCATACAGAACGGCAGTCTGCCCATCTCAATGTGCCTTTAGTCCACGTAATATAAAAGAATAACCACAAGAGGGCGCTACCCCTGCATAAAATGAAGCAATGGTTCGTATAGGTTAATAAAATGCAGCGGTATTAGTATTAGAAAAGATGTATTTGTAATAGAAAATGTTATACAATCTGAAAAACTAAGATCACATTGCTCAAGACTAAAACGATTAAAATATACGATGCTGCAAAAGCAGTAGTTAAATTCAATAAGGGTGATAAGCAATAAAGGTAGTAAAAGTCAATCATTGAGCGTGATGTGAACTACAAAACATTCTTGGTAAAAGAATTAGTTAATATCTGAATGTAGGCTGCAAGAGACTTGTCCACGGATTGTTTTGTCTAACAACGAGACTACTGGGATTGCATAGTTTGATCGAACCCATCTCTAGCACATAACGTATTATTTTAAAACATGACATCTCTTAAGTGTGAATAAGATTGTCTCCTTTGTGGTCACATCATGCTGAATCAAACCAAGAAAAGCGCGCATTTAAAACGTGATTAAAAGCTAATGTTATACAGCATGTACTCGCTAGATCCAGTTTCCAGAACAGCGTCATCCTGAGGGTCGAGCCTGACCGGAGCCAAACTCTGCAGACACAGCTAAAGGACAAGAACACACCCGAGAGTAGTGTAGCCAGTCTTCAGCAGGGTGCACGTACACAAGCCAAACTTGACAATTAACCTAGCCATCACATCTTAGGGCTGTCCGTTGGACAATTCCCGAGTACATCTTCACCAACACGGGGACAACATTGCATTTGTGTTGGAACAGGAAGGCTGTGTGCAGTACACCGATACCACATAGCCTCACCTCCTAAGACTCTGTCACAGTCCCATGCAGAATTATAGCGTACTGTGTTGAAGGATCTAATGCACTTGTCATTATATATTTTAATGTTTGTCATTTTTACGTCACTGCAGATTCTCAACGTCTGATGAAATACGAATTCAATGAAATACAGAATTAGGAAAGTACTGCAATGAGCTGTATTGTACTTACGAACTTGCGTAGTGCGTAGTCGAGGTTTAACTATAAATCTTGACTACTCAAATCATCCAAATACAAAGTAATTTACTTTTTAAACAACCAAAATCCCCTAATTGTTTAAGGTAAGCACAGATATGACTACGAAATCTATATTTTACTCCTATACTGAAAAAATGGGAAAAGGTGAAAACATATTTATTTTACACACTTTATTTTCAATTTATTACAACATACAACCATGAAAAAAAAACACTTTCGAATTTCACACACGGGTCCTACTCAGGTCATGTCGCTATTGCATCACAGGTAGCTTCAATAATGGGAAGCTCAATAAATATATTAATAGACTATATTTATTTACATTAAGATTTTAAGAGCGATGTATTTGTATATATACAAACGTTTTAATACATTTCATAGACCACTAAAACAAATACCGTGCACTTTTTCCAGTTCTTCTGTTGAGTGGTTATTTACATCATGCTTCATTATAAACAGACGACTCTGCGCCAGTGACTAAATGCCTGCTGTCATTGGTCTGGAGACGATACAGGTAAATAATATATTTTTTTCATACTGTATTTTGCGCAGTCGCAGATATACTGAAAGTTCACAATCGCAAAGACTCTTACCATTCTGGTCTGTAAGGTCAGCAGTGTGGGTAGGGCTCACTGGCAGAAATTGTGTTTAAGAGGGAACCGGGGCAAAATAAAGTTCTTGGAGCAGAAAAAACGGGAGGAAGCAGACAGTTTGTAGGTCTCTGAAGGAACTGCGGGAACTCCAGTGCCGCACAAGGGTTGGGATTTTGCAAAAACGAAGGAGACGTCTTCCCGATTATACTTTCGATGCTGAAGGAGCATTTGCTTTGCGGGACACCAGCGGGCTTGTGATCCAGGGAGGGCGTGCAGGTTTGCACCTGAGGTCCTTTGGGATTGGGCACCTTCCCAGTGCTAATATCGGGATACCGGACACGGTGAGCAGCCCGTGGCAGAACGACACTCTCCTGAACTGGAATATATCTCAGCGAGGCAGGCTGTACCGTTGCCGGGCCGTGCATGGCATACGGTCGTCCATAAGGTCGGTAACAGCTGAGATTGGGATAAAACATACCTGCAAGTCCGTCTTTGACGAATTCCGGCTGGTGTCTTTTAAACCTTTTCCTCCGCCGAAGGAAGCTGCCGTTGTCAAACATGTCTTCAGAGGCAGGATCCAGTGACCAGTAGTTGCCTTTCCCTGGATTTCCAGGTTCCCGTGGAATCTTGATAAAGCAGTCGTTGAGGGATAAATTGTGCCTAATTGAGTTTTGCCACGCAGGGAACTTTTCCTTGTAATAAGGGAATTTGCTGCTTATGAAGTCACAGATCCCGCTGAGCGTCAACTTCTTCTGTGGACTCTGCAGGATGGCCATGGTTATCAAAGCTATGTACGAGTACGGGGGCTTGACCAAGTTGTTTTGGGGTCTGCTGGAGGAAGGCGTCTCCGCGGTGGGGAGGCTGCCGTCGCTTTCGCCCGAGGAATCGGCTTCAGAACATTCCGTGTCCGCGCCGGCCTCAGGGGACGCGCCCTCCTCTGCTGCAGTTGACTGGGTCAAGTATGGGCCCTGGAGCCGGCAATCATACAAGTCGTCTTCCCCAATAATGTCTATTTCATCTTCTTCAAGAGAGAGTACTGTGTGTGGTTGAGGAACTTCGTAATCGTTGGACAGGGTCATGGTCTTGAAGACGCGTAGGATTCTTCGGCGCGGCAATCAATTTTAAAGGACTCGCCCCCACCCCCCCGGAAGCAATCGAAGAATAAACTTTCTTTGCGCTTGAACGAGATTAACTGAATGCCAGGTCTCCGTCAGAAACAGGTTTTTATGAGGGGTGGATCCTTTGACCCAACCCATTTCCAATAGATGGCCAAGCCTATCCGAAATGGTAAATCGCGAACCAGTAATGGACGGAGTCAATCTTGTCACAAAGAGGAGTGGCTGCTAATAGCTCTCCGGCCACTATTTAAAAAACCCCCCACTAAAGTTCATTTTCAGTTTAATAATTACTTTAAGACATTCTGTAAAATTTACGTTACAGCCTAGATAACACTATCAGGTGAATTGCTGAACATTTCCAACAGTCCTGTACTGCGTTTTACACTTAATTACTGCTCTTAGTTATGGGTGTAAAACCTTACTTTTATCAAATGTATTTCTTATTTATATGTCATAGATTAATTACAGCAGTCGTTTATACTGGGTAGACGTATTTAACAAAAAGTAACACCATTATTAAATCCGCTGTTTTCGTGATTACATTGATGGTTTTGTAAGGTATCAGTTTTGTTATAGATACATTTTAAATGTTTCTAATTTAATTTAAAAACGTAGCAAACGTTTAACGAAACCATTATTTTATCTTTATTAGTTTGTAACTTTGTAGTGATAGGTATATTCCATTTTAAAATTTCTTGACAATTAGTCTTAGCTTTTGTTTTAGTACTGCTGTAAAACGAATTCTTCTGGATCTTAGAAATACCGCTCAAGTCGGAATCGAAGTCGTATCGTTTTGTGGTCTACAGTTTAAAGAGAATTATAACCGAGTCTCTTAATCTGAATACATTCGTTAATTATAAATCAGGGCACTGTAGATATTAATTAAGTCTATTCCAATATTCAATAATAATGAGACAAACTCATGTGTGCCTACATTTAAGCAACACAGAAGCTCTGTGGGAGATGAGCGATAGGCGCAAGATTGCGGCTATTGAACGTTATAACACCACGCCTAAGATTAAAACTCACATTTCTTCCCCTTAACCCCCGAGGGCTCAATTTAGTTTAGTTTTCCACGTTTAGGTTCCTGGAGAGTAGCATGACCATGAAAATGGACATGAGGGGCTCCCTGCTTGCATTAAAAAAAGGTGCTGGAGCTGCCATGAAACAAAGACATCAACATCAGAATCGGATAGGAAATGACACAGCTGCAGCGAGGGTTTAAATAACACCTTGTGGAAGATTTTCTTTCTTTAAGCGTATAAATGGATACAGAAATCCTCAAAGCAGCCTTTAGATCTTGTATATTTGTTTAAACAGTGCTGCACGTTCATCTTAATTGCAAACTAAAATGTAAAACAAAGACCCTGCCCACTTCCTCGACCGCCAGCCTGAAATCTTTTCAAAAACTGGGATAATCCCAGGAGCACTTGTCCTAGAGGAGTCTTTGAACTGCTACATTCTTAAATGTAGCAACCTGACCAGGGATATCCGCTTTTACCATTAATAAAGAAATTAATGAACATTTAAAGAGGCCTACAGATTGCTCGAGCCACAAAAACATTAACACCCTTAAGTAACTATTAATTCCGACACACCTAGTGCATAACAGCGCATATATGTAGTACTGTAACTGGACACCGAAGTAGATTATATTCTATACAACAAAACTGCTGCACAAAAAATAAAAATAATAAGTCTGCAAATTACTATCGTCTTATTTTTTAAATAATTTTTCAAGTTTAAAGGAATATTTTAGCCGATTTCAAAAGGACAAGCAGACTGAAAACGGGTGAACGGAATTTATAAATTTAAAAGGAACACTTTAATATTGCTTATAGTCTGAACCTTCCTTTCCAAATTCAATTATCTCTCGGATCCTGCGCACACATGTCCTGGAAAAATGGATGGTTTAGGTGTTAATCTTCTGAAACGTAATTTTGTCTTTCACAATCTAACTCATTGTTTTGTTAACAGGACAGTGACACAGGACGAGTCATTAAAATAATATCATCTGAATTTACTGAAGTGCCGATAGTCTTTACAATTTCCCACTTATAACGAATTATCCAGAATTTTTCGACTTTGAGGTGCTTTGACATATATTTTATATTCATGCAACTGCCTAACTACCAAACTAATGATTTCTACAATCCACTGATTTCGTAAAATGTAAATACTTCAGAACAATTATGATAAATCTGCCCATCAGCCATTTGAAAGATACGAAATGTACAACATGTTACTGTCCTAGAAATTATTAATCCAATCCGATTATTTAAATTAATAAAACAATAGGCATTTTATATTCCGACAATTGGAAATATAAATAAACACTGCTTATTCGATGTAGAAGTAAAGAAGTATGCAAGTACTATTTATTAAACTGCATTATTGGATTTTAAGATCTTTTATGCATCGTATTAAGTTTAGACCAAAGTTGACAGAACATTATTTTATTTATAGGCAATCAGCGTTCTTATAGCTGTAATTATTGTATAAAAATAAGAAATAGTATGCAACATTTACAAGGAAGTATTTATAGTGTTTAAAAATATTACATTCATATCGGTTTTTAGAAGGTCCTGATTATTTTACATTATTGGATTACAATAAAAACAATTTTCAAGAACAATGTGTTCAAAAACAATTTTCATCTTTATTTGAAAATGTAAATGTATCTGTACACAGATAATTTATCTACTCCACTCTAATTACTGTGTAGCTACACTACAGTCCCTTAATTTGGTGTGATGAATAGCTTTTCAATTAAGGTTCTCTTAAATAAGTAACACATCTTAGATCTCTCTCAAGTGTGGGCATCACATGGAGATGTCCTTCAGTTAATCACTGCTTGTTTGGTTGAGAACAGTTGTGATGAATAATTCCTCTAGGATACCCTTGTCAAGGTTTTTACCTGTGAAAGCAAGTGAATATGCATAGATTGTGTCATCTGGAACTGTAGAAGTTACAAGCAAGAAAACCTAAATGCATTCCATGTATCTGTAGACTTTTTAAAATTAGGTATATATTAATCACTCAGTGACAAATGTTATATTTTTTTCTAAATTGCTCTTTACATTTATATATTGCTGTAAACAAAAAAACATATTTTTAGAAAACAAGCACATTTCCACATATTGTCCCTTAAAATGTTTTAAAAATAGCTTTAACCATAATGAACAATACTATTAAGTCTGTATTCCCCCTTAGATGGTAAATTTAACCAATGCACATTCAAGTAATATAATTTCTTTTAATGTCTGACAAGTATTTCTAAGATATTATTTCTGGTTCATGATTTTGCCTTATTGTTTTGAATCACTAATTGAGCAGATATAAAAATTATCAAGATAATTAAATGTTTGTTTTATAATACAAAAGAAATGATCTCGTTTTTTACTGCTTAGAATTGGGTTGTTGTGCTCCTTACCTATGAATACCAGTCTACTGATTCTAGGTTCTTCACTGTCCCAGATCTGTGGAGTCTCCTCTAGGTCGTACAGCTCATGAACACTCTGGAGTATCACCTTCTGTGGTTTGTTCTGTATAGAAAGAATCCCCTGATTTCAGAAAATCAGGAAACAAAAAGATTAACATCCAATCTTTTCTGAAGACAGAGAATATAAATATTTCTTAAATTAATTTCAATTATACAGTACAGTGGTTTTACAAATCATTATATCTTGGAAAATATTCCAAATTCATACTCTTTTTCCTTTACTAAGAATTACATAGCAGTTTTTACAGTTCAATAAAAGTTACATTTTTACTTTCATAAAAATAAAATAATAAAAAAAAAGAAATTAAAGAGTGAATTCACCTTTAAGCGTATGACATTCATTAACAAGCCAGTCTTGTTTTTAATAGTCTTCTCCCACAGGAGATTCTGGAAAAAAAAGTATTTTATTTTAGATCGCTTTTCAGAAATTTAAAAACCCTTACATTTCCATTCATTTTATAAAGCATTTGTTGGCAAATCTTTTATCTTTTTCAACAGATGGTAAAAAGAAATTGTATAATTAGGAATAAATAAATAAATTTTGCAGTACATCATATACAGTAAATGAGTTATTGTTCAACAACACTTTGAAGCACACATATACAGTATAATACAGGCTATGCGTTACATGAGTAGCCTTCTTTATGTAAGACATTAAGAATCATTATTCTACAAACAATGTGACAGTAATGGTATTTCTTAACACATTTCTTTTCCTCTGAGAACTAGTTTTTGATATACAGTACATGACATGATTCCTGAAACTCTAAAGGTGGAAATCACACATTAGGTACACCATGGGCCATGGTGATGTGATGAGGAAAATGTGTTTTTATTATTTTTGGCTAGAATAAAATCATAAATTCAAATAAATTGTACTGCTGTTAAGCTTGTGTCTTTCAAAAACAAAAACACAATATAAGGAAAATACATCTTCTTATGTGTTACATGTTAATACATTTATAAATTGATAACTCTTAATAAAATCTTTTGGAAGTAGTGTAGATACTTCATTCTGTAAGGACGGCTATTTTATACAAATTGCGCACCTGAATAAATACATTTAAGCGTTCTTCTGAAATGCATCCAGGGACTTCAAATGTCACAGTGACAATACTCTGGAAAAATAAGAAAAACAACAGTAATTTAATTATTAGTTAGTAGAAAACTCCACGCTTTCTAAAGTCCTGTAAATACAAAAAAGTTGGAATTGTGTTGGTCCTTCTAAACCTAAATGGTTTTCATACTATTTTTATACTATTTTCCATAATAAAAACTGACCCAGTTGTTTTGTCACTCAGTAGCAGCCAGTTACTATGTGAAACAGTGATCAATACAAGATTTCAGTTCAGAGGAATTCTTCACTGTTAAGATCATTTTGAAGAAATCTATACTTTTCTTCAATTCTGTTAAAAACTGATAAATGCTAATAAATGTGATATCATTAAAACTATTTAACTTCTTGATTTTTTTTTGAGCCATTGACTGGTCCTGATACAAACACCTTAATGCTGTCCTTTACAGAGTTAATACAAACATACAAACATATTAAGAAATGTGTTGCAGAATGTAACCTTGTGACCTCTAGTGCAGACGCAACCCAACTGAATTATACAGAAAATGTTTAGAACAACATACATGTTCAACAGACAAAACAAAAACCAATAAAAGAATACCAATCTGTACACAAAGTTTTGTTTTGCATTATTTTTCTAATGTTAATTTTTCTCAGCTGCTGAAAGGACATCCCTGTCCAGAGTTGCATTTTGTCCATTAAGGACAACCAAGCGTCTTTTTCTGTTTAAAATGACAATCGTGTGTGTGTGTGTGTTTTATATTCTATATATATATGCTATCACTAGTCATTCAAGCCTGTGTTTTATTTTATACAAGCCTGTCACACATTAATTGGCTTGACTGTTAATAGGAAAGTGACTATTTTGGTCCAGATAGTGTGCATTACAGTTAGTGACATGGAGATACACGGATAGACCTGTAGAACTGTAGATGCTCTGTGATTTCAAATCAATAGACAGTTCTAAAACTCAAACTCAATTTAGTGTTTCTTTTCAGTTGCTAATAATAAAAGCTACAGAACTTCAAACAGTAAATGCGACATACATGTTATCCTGATTCGGCCTTGAAGGCATTCTCGGAAATATTTTCAGTATCATCATTCTGTATCTGTCTTACAAAGAAAGATGGCTTAAACTAGGGGTACCAGCTGTGTGTAAGCAGTGTACAAAAATGTTAAATCTAATTTAACATATCAAACTTGAAGTAGTTGAAGGAGATTCCTCCTCCCATCATCACACTCCCACTACCCCACAGGGTGTGTCCCATAACGTTCACCACAATGTCTCCACACATTGTCCTCCACCAGGTTTATCAAAGGCAAAATGGCACTTGTCGGCCCACAGAAGACAATTTAGTCTCCCATCTATATTGAAAGGGCAGATTTATCATTTTCATGTAAATGGTGAGCTACAACCATTTTGCTACTCTAGATTGTTATTCTGTGCTGGAATTTTTCACACTGTAGCAACTGTAGTCTATAAATGATTGGGAACCTCTTGGATTTTTCACCACTTATGCTGCAAGCTCAAATAGAAATGCATTTATACAGTATTACTCCAATTATTACTACAATAGTAATAACTGCTATTATTACTATAATGTCAAGGTAGAACAAAAGTTCTGGAAATTGTTTTACATAGGATTTGATTTAAATCCTATTGTTTTACGTGGGATTTAAAAGAAAACACTAAAATGTCTTGACCTGAGAAGTATTCACTCCCTTTGATGTGAATCTTCAAATTGAGGCCAGGTGCATCTAATTGCCTGGTGAGCTCACTCTAAAACCACCTGTAATCATGCTGATAACCCACAACACTAAAGCTTTTCTTGAATAACCTCCTCAAAAGCACTACAAAACACAACAGAATGACAAGCATGAAAAACATATTGCAGAATACATTTTGACGTGAACATACCAGAACCAGTTACTGAGCTGGATCTAGAGAAGACCCTAGTCAGGTCTTAAGTTCTTAAGGGTGTGTTATACTATTTCACTTGGCATCTTTGTTTTTAAACATTCAGTTTAAACTTTGTCTCATTATGAATAATTGCATACTTGCATGTTGTTTTATTGTGTTGTGCAGTATTTATGAAGGTTTTATGATGGTGTTTTAGCCTTAGTCATGTCACGTTTTAGCCACACGTTCTATACATTACACAAGCAGGGAATGGTCACATCTTGTGCTGTTCTTGCATTAACTGAAACTATGTTTTGTATATATATATAGTTACAGTCATATAGTTGTAGTTAATTATTGTTTTAATTAACTAAACTTAAAACTATATTAATTAAACTATACTGATTCTTAATCAATTCTTTTCTGGAAATTGTAACTCAAATACCAAACATTGGATTTTTCTGAAAGTGCACCACTCAAGCCCAGCATTTTGTTGTCATTATTTTGTCCCAAGTAACAATATTACTTAATCAACCAACCATTTTCTTCACTAACTAAAGTGCAAATAAGATTATATGCTGAAAGAAATATAGATGCAAACCTCGTTGCAATTTCATTGTGCATCGTTATGTACATTTGATGACACTTAGTGGTCATCCTTTAAAGTGCTTTGAGAAGCCACCTTTAAAGGCGCTATATAAAATAAAGTTTTTTATTATTATATTACTATCTCGACACAAATCTGATTCAGAAGCACTTAAGTTAACCGCGTGACAAAGCCATCGGTTTTAACAAGATTTCATAATGTTGTGTAATGGTGTCTTGGGCATCATCAATTCCCCTACACTTTGATGGGATGCTCATCAACATTAATTCTCTGTTACAATTGACAGTTTTATCACACACGTGATATATCACACTTTACACAAGGTACGCAAGAACCATAACAAATACAAAGATACTTTTCTTGAGAATTTAACAACAGAAGGCAGAAACAATTGATGTGCTGTGGTGAATATAAAGTAATGTTTCAGCTTTAAGCTCGTAATACAGCCATCCACTCTAAAAATAATTTTGAATTATTCAAACCACCAATGTCACTCCTTTTCCAGCTAATGTATAAAAGTATCTTTAGATCATGTTTACTGTACCTTGAACATTATTTGAGTAAATAATGTCATTTTTATTCACTCCTGAGTAAAAATATTACCTTGAAGAAGGCAAGCAATAAAATGCATATAAAAACAAAGATACAACATGCAATTAGAATGGTCAAAGGTTTTTACTTGTTACAAACATGGGGAAGTATTTGCTGATTCTTAAGAAATGTTTTTCTATTGCAGTACATAAAGAGACTAAACAGCTATTTAGGTTTTCTTGCATACATGTTTACACTGAACAATCTTGAGGCACAGATAAAATGTGCATTTTTTTATACTGAGCAGTTTTTTGAAGATGATGACCTCAAGGTATTTTTATGAGACACCTAAGGTGTAATTCACCTCTTTTCCCTTGTGAATTTTTGCCCAGCTTTAAAGGGCTCTTTACAGGTTTTTAGGTATTGTGTGTAAGTGTTAAAGTTAAACACTTCCTTTTTATTTGGTATAACAACAGAAACTAGAAGAGCCATTTGCATGAAAAGAGCAACTGGGTTGGGCTCAGTGGGGGTTTCTTGTGTTTCTAAAAAGAGAAAGAGAAAACAAATGACAATATAAACATTTAACCCCCTCCCAAGAGGATGTTAAAACACACACGGTGGCAGTATTCTTCCTGGGCTCCTCAGGACTCAGCAAAGAACTTACAGCCAAATGCAGACCTCCCTTTTGTCAAGCACAGGCAGCGGCATACTTCATATGGACAAATTCAGCTGAAACAATCTTTCGTATATGTACCAGTAAGATCTGATCCTTTTTTGCTTATAAGACAGGTAGCTAGTGGAAATAGCTTAGCAGTTTGTATGAGAACAAAATTAATGTTTTCTTTCCTCCACCTCCACATTCAACTGAATTTCAATGCATTGGAAAGTCTGATATTCTTAATCGCACACATGATGAGGGCCCTATGTGGTGCTGTAGTCATGGAGTTTGTCTGTTCTACCCTTGTTTGTCTGGGTTTCCTCTGGTTGCTCCTGCTTCCTCTCGCCCTCCAAAGAATGTTGGTGAGATTAATTGGATTTTTGCCCTCCTGTGAGTGTGCCTGCGTTTGTGTCTGTGCCCTGCGATGGACCGGCATCCCATCCAGGCCGTATCCCACCTTGTGCTCATTGCTTGCCAGGATAGGCTCCGGATACTGGATAAAGTAGTTAGAAAGTGGACGGATGGATAAGAGACAGAACTTCAAAGAATCAAGGCCATAAGCAAATGTACTAGAAAGAAGGGTTGTCCTGAAAATGGCGCCTTTGTGAAGTACACACACCTTGTTCCCTATTTATTTAATAAACATTTGTTGATGGTTTGAAGTAGAAAAACGTGCGACTAAGCGACAACATGCTTGCTCAATGCAATCATGTTCTTTCTCAATAAAGAAAAAAAACTTTAGGAAGCTTAGTTAATTCTCAAAACAGAGGTACACATATCCACCAGGAATAGATGTAAACCACTCAGAATAGATGTATTCTTATCTTTACGTCATGAAATTGCTCTACAAACATCGCCTACCATGGATCCGTCTGAAATGCCTCCATTGTAGGCATTGTCAGTAACAAAGAATCGCATCTGTTACACGCTTTGGAGTTATACAGTTATACATACTAATACTAACTTGGTCGATTACATTTTACTAAAATGCCTGTTGAGAAACAAAAAGCTTCTATGAAAAATTCTAATGTTATGGAAGAATTTTTGTAAGTATACTAAGTGACAGTTATGTATTACAGTGTTTTTGCTCTCCATCTTCATGAATGATAAGAAATGGAGCGTACCACACTGAACCTGACACAGCGTTCACATTTTTAACTTTGAGAAGACATTTTGTTCAACTATATACATTTTTCTTATTCAGCAATGTTTTACATAACACACAGAATACGTAATGTGATCAGTGTCTAGGAAAAGTTACATGAAAAAAATACAAATACAAAAATATACTGTATATTACTGAGATTAATATACAAGAACAAAAACAAGAAACATATTGTATCAGTAACTACTGATTTGCATGATCACATTATTTACACTCTTATAAAGTGGAAGGTAACTGTTAGGTAGCCATTTGCACTAATTAGGAATGACCTTATTAGTTAATTGTCACATACTGTAAATATTGAGTGATTGAGGCAGAGGATGTACTGAAACCAAGATGATTCCGTGAAAAATGAGAGATTGATACAAATCACAAAAAACAAAATGAATAAAAGAAGGGTGTAGTTATTCAAGGTTTTCTGTTCCTCAAAGTCCAGTAGGATCAACAAAAGACAAGCAGAAACAAAAAGCTAAAGCCGAGAGTCTAGCCCAAGAGAAGCAGGAAAACAAATTGTTTCAGAGGTCTGCAACAATACTAGGATAAAAATACCAGGGAAATGCAGGACAACATGGTAGACATCGAGGCATCTCTTAATAATAAGACATAAAAGACAATTAACTGTAATAATAACTACATATAGGGGGACTTATTTCATCCAGCACTGAAGATCAGCACTCAGGTGATGTGCCACAGCCATTATGCACCACTGCACAGCAGGTCAGGTGGAGCAGTGAGAATTTATGGAATTAATAAATCCAAATTGACTGACTGAAACAAGGGGGGACATTAGAGAGGCCAGGCTATCCAAACGCAGAGTGGAATTTAACCAGTATGTGTTAACACTCCAACCCTTTCATAAAATTCAATACCTCGGTTTAATATTTCACTTCCTATAGGACAGTGTCTCCAGTCTCCATACTGACATGGAAAATGGCATTAGGAACTTTGATCCAGAGGAAACAGTCTCACCTACTGGTCCTCCAACACCATTTGCACCATCAACCTGGATTTGCTCGAAGTCTCCCATTCCAGGATTTACCAGACCCAATGCTACTGGTACTTAACATCTGACGTTTTATGCAAGGCTACAAGGTGGTAACACTCCTGCCGACAGCAAGCTGAACACACATGGCTTGTATAGTTAGGGGACGAGAGAAAAGTTTTTAGAAAACACACAAAAGAAAACAGCAGGTTATTCCATGAACAGTTTTCTCCCTGGTGCCCAGGATCCGGGATTCTTTAGACAGACCACCAGTTTGACAGGGCAAGTTTTCAACTTAGGTGTAAACAAGCCAAAATGTCCAAAGAGAAGCTAGAAAAACTCCTTCACAATGTCAAACACAGTACCTGGATGAGTTCAAACATGGATTGTCTCCTAGCATGGAAAGGAGAGGCCTGCAATGAAAAGTCATTGCACTGGCCTGCCTTCACTCTTCAGAGGTCTTTGTAACATTGAACAAAAAGTTCAAAAAGACACAGAATATCATATTTTTATCTCTAAGAGCTCTTCAGGTCTAGTGTCATATTCTGACAAAACAATAACTCAAAAGAACAACATTTTCTATATAGACAAGGAAAGAATGCTGGGGACTGTCCATCACAATCACCTAACCCGCATCCTTTTAAAAGGTCTGATGTTAAAGGAAGCCTGCTTTCCAGGAAACACTTTAAAATACACTTAAAGCTACCCGGATGGAAGAGGGAACATTTCACAGGATGAGTGCTGATAAACTTTACAGAAATACTTTGAAATTTAAAGCAAAAACTAAAGGAGAAAAAACTAGGTTCTGACCAGGACTGGGGTCAATTCCAGTCTTTCTGATCCAATTCGCTTTTCAAAACTAAACTCCCAATTCCCGTTCTGTGGAATATAAAAAGGCAAATGGGATTGGGAATCGGTTTACGAGAGAGAACTGGGACTGACCCCAGCCTTTCTAACTTTCAGTGTCATGCAAGATATGTAAACATCTTTCTTCAAAGTAGGAAAATAATACAAGATTCTTAACTTGTTGTTTACCTTGTCCAGATGTGGTTGTGTTGTTTGAATGTGTAGCAGCTTTTCCTGCAAACTAGAATATAAACGTTATCACATAAGGTTTCCAAGCCCCATAATTCCATGCATATTCTTACAGAAAAGATTGAACAGTGACTAAAGCAATCACAAATATATAAACATATTTGTATTATTACAGTATATGCTAATTTGTACATATCTACATAAACATATTTGTATTATTTATATGCTAGTTAGTCCATATCTACATAAATAGATGTGCTTTATCTTACTTTGTCCATGACACTTTAAATCTAATGCATACTTGATTTAAAGTTTATAAAGTAAAATATAGACTAATCTTCTAGATCATTCCAATCATTTCCAATCATTAAGTACTCAACATTACGATTTAGAAGCTGTAAATGGATCCCCTTCTTAATGCAAAATGAAGGGCTCTGTAGTATTAACTTTTACAACAATGACACATTTGGGCAGTTCCTGTGTACACAAGGGCTTAATTTGCGACAAAAGCAACCCCTGGACACCATGCTTGCAGATGTTTTGGCTTAGCTGGTTCTAAGAAAAGTTGAACTTCATTTTCTTAATCCAGGTTCTCATGTGTCCGCCGAATTAAAAAAAAAAGTGGAAAGAACCACTGCAGTAGCCTTTTTTTTTGTATCAGTCAGCTGCAGACTTCAGACATGCTGAGAGGGGACATGCAGGCAAACATTGTCCTACAGATTATGCTATTTACAACTGCGCCACACAGCCAGTCACAGGGGGTCACTTCAAACAAATGGTCTGCGAGGTCTGCAAAGGGGGTAAATTGGTAACAGTGGGTTTAAAAGAAGGGAGGGAAAGTATCTATGTAGACAAGTTTGTTAAGATAATTCTTCTCTGTGCTACCAAGTTAAAAAAGGTTTAATCCATCACAGCTGGCTGACATTTTAAAGGAAATGTTATTCCATTTGATTACCAGTCTTCACTGGGGAGCAATAAGCACATTTTGCTTTGTTAATTAGACAAAATCAGTATAAAATCCATTGTTTCTACCAATGGAGTGAATTTGGCAAAAATTTGGCAAAAACAGCCTTTTGCCTTTAGACAAAAAAAATATCAGTCAACAAATCTGAAAACATCTGAATTATCTGAAATAAGAAAAAATCTGAAACCAAAATATATTTAAAGATACATTAACCTTGGAAGGTTTTTTTGAAGTTGTTCTCAATTATAGTTAAAGACTACGTCACTTTGCAGCAGTCAAACTAAAGGTGAACCCAGGAAACTGGACACTGGGACACTGGACTGTTTCTGCTTAACTGGTAATCACTGCAATCATGCAGAGAAAACATCTGGAAATTAGAGCAAGGAGTTCTGATCCACAGAGAGATTTCAGAGTATCTCCTCAGCCTATATATTCAGCTACTTTATGCATTTGAATTTCAGAATATTTTTAATAAACCACCTGGGGCTCGGAAGACAATGACATTGTCTTATTTTAACATCAACTCAGATTCCCTTGCTCTTCAACGGGCTGATGGGTTTACCCATGACACTGAAAAGGGCTTTGACTGCTTGATATGTTTACTGTGGCCAGGGACAATGATATCTAGCAAACCCTTGTGTGTACATCATAATATATTGTGCCAGCACTCCATTCCATGCAGCAGCTTGTCCAGTCAGGTAAGTGCCCCTATTGGAAAGTGCATTTAAAACTGGGAGCAGGAAGCACTGATTTACGCAAAGGGTGGTGGGAGTCTGGAACAAGCACCCCAGCCCCATTGATGAAGATGATGATGCCCTGGCTTCTTTCAAGAAACGGACGGATTAGATCATTGGATCAATTAGCCACTAGCAACCAAACAAGCTACACAGTAAAATCTGAAATCTCTATGAATTGCAAATTTACGAATGTGGGACTTAATACCTTACAGGAAAAATAGGGTGTGGTTCTATGGCTCACAAAACAAGCTTAGTAGTAGTACTATTTTTGGTGCTTATTTCTGTAGTAATATTTTGTTATATATCAATTAACAATTTCAGAAAAAGCATTAGTATTTATCGGAGTCTTAAAAAGTTTTTTCTCCCTATATTTCAAGTTAGTTATAGGGAGATAAATTATAGGGAGAAAGTACATCGTTGTTATGAAATTAAGGCTTATTTCGTATTAGAGTTTGTTTTTTTTCTCATTCTTTGTAGAGCACATTTTCTTTACTTTTTCATCTTGTATTTAGAATTACAAATGCAAATGCAAAGTTAATTGCAGCAAAACAGACAAAACAGTTAATTACAGGTAAAAACAGACAAGAAAGGTAATTGAGTATATTCCCTCCCTTTCCACTTAACCAACTCCCCTCTCCTGTTTGTCTAATTCACTTGTAATGTCTTTTGTTATCATTTACTGCAAAACACACGAGAACTGAGACAATGATAACTTTTTATTTGACGTTCTTTTTACTTCAGGCACACAGGTGTTACTCTGATAACAGGTCTACAAACAACGAACATCTAACAGTTTCCTGAATGAAAATGGATAACGAAAGCATAACCCATGATGCACTTCTACATAAACGTGTTAACTCTTTGTTAAGTTATGCCTTTTCTACTGATGCAGGTTGGGTGAAGTAAGTATGCAAAATGAAGATGTGCAAATACGAAGCTGCATTTACACTTGCATCCTACTGTAAATAAACCTGTGAATTTAGCCTGCAGAGGTGGAAAAATTTGTGACCAAAAATTTCATGTGCAGAGGTGAAAGTGCGAATGTAGAACTTTTTTTCTGTCTTTGGTTACTATAGGCTCATTTGTAAACTGTTCTATGTATAAGAAGAGGACTGAACTCAGAATAAATGCATTTATTTTTATATGTTTTTCTGGATTTAACTATGACCACTTTGTGCTCCCAGGTGTTGATGACTGATCAGAAGGATTAGGTTTAAACCATAGCTCTGCTGATAAAGGCTGTGCTGTATGTACAAAAGACATACCTTGCTCCGGCTTTGCTATCAAATGAATGCAGATCTAAAACACTGGAAAGATCAACCCTGGGAAAAAAAGAAATATACAGTTAGCATCAGATAAGATCACACAGTAATGACCTTTCTAAAGAGAAAAATTACTTTGGCATAAGTGAAACATCTTATTTCATGAACAGATAAGCCTGTGTGCTAAATAAATTCACATGGGTGAAGGTGTGTACCAAATCGCAAAACAGTGAAGTGCAAAAATAACTTTGTCTTTTAGGAATTCTAAGTAAATGCATCCATAAAGCCACATACATGGATGCAGCCAGCATCTAAGTTTAAAAGTAGCCCTCAAACTAGATCAGTCTAAGGGTTAAATTTTAAAGGAATGTTCAAACTCAGAGTAAGACATACCAGCTTCAAATAATCAGAGGTTATGAAATTTGTTTGCTGTAATCTCATCTCTGTGTGCTGTTTCTTAGGCATACCTCAAAATGACAGGAGAAAATAAAGATTGAAATACATGTCTTTATAAACAGGCTATTTTAGTCTTTTTTTATTAAATGCTATACACTGGTGAGACCACCCTATTGCCTTTTCATCAACACAAGCTTCTTAAGGTACAGTGAGTAGCATAAGAACACCAATTTCCTTTGTGGCATGCAGTGTCTATATTCTCAGTTGCCAGCAGTGCTCCAAAAACTCATACTTCTGTCCAATAACAGACAATTAGACTGTGGAAGACAGATCCTTAGAAAATATTGACTGGCAGTGAACAATTCAAAACTAATCTCTCATTTAGTGAAAGCCAGTCATATCATATCTAAAGGATTTGGTTCTTTGAACTTTCTGAATGACTTCTATCAAACCCCAGATCATTGCTAAGGGTTAAATGAACGCATTAAATAAACATGATACAACGCCAGTGAGATGAAGATGTATTATTTATTAACATACATTCTCCAGAGTAAACCTGGATTCAACAATTTAGTTCAAACGTCACATTAAAAACGGAAACTAGGCATACTTAGTTACTGCTGTTGTGAAAACAAATGATTCACACTGCTTGTTTTTACTTTTATGGACAGAAAGACTCAATGGAAATGTCATAATGGTTCACTTCAAACTATAACTGTATAGTTCTCTCCAATGACAAACAAATACAAGAACAAAACTACTGTGTACCAAATTAAATCAATTGTAGTCTGATGTACAGAATTTATAACTAACAAAACATCAGTAAATATGCTTATACATCATGTATTTTCTCTCCTGCCAATGCTGAATGAAAGGGAATTCTGTCAACAAGAGGAAACTATTTTGAGAAAACTAACAGCAAAACCTGTCATTTGTCAGCACTACTATTCTGGGGTTTCTGCAGTGCATCATTTTAAGATGTCCACGGTGCTGTCAGTAATAACATCCAGCAATCGGTTCTCTCATTCGCTCCTGTGGGAATGCTACTCGTGAGAGGATCTAAAGACAAGTTTATGAGAAGTAAGAAGAAATACTCATCTCTCTTTACATTTGTGGCGGCAGTCAGCAACATCACGTTTGGAAGAGAATATCTCAACAACCAATCAATTTCTACAGCTCAAAATCTTATAGTAAAATTTTGTATTATAGCTGGTTCAGTTGAAGTTACTGCAAATAGATTGCAACATTTAAAAAAAAATGAACACCTAATTTTGTCGACAGAGGCCAAGAAAACAGCCTTGATATCAGAATTTTTCAAAGCCAACATCCTTGTAACAGATAATTACAAAAACATCAAGGAATGCACATTAAATGGACAGGTCTCTTAAGTCATGTTTGTGCAAGGGTCTTGTTAAAGTTTATTTAAAATGTTTTTGTACAACACATTTAACCTTTGCTACCAGAACAAAGCAGAGAAAATAACAGGAGTGTAATCCATAAACGCTAACGCAACAGATGGTGCCTGCAAGTCTTTCATACTCGTTTTTCCCAGTAGGGCACCAGGCCTACCAACAGGGCATACCAACAGGAGCCACGTCAACTTTCAGAAAGGTTACAGTGCTTTGAAAATTAAACAAATCCACAACTTCAAACACATATCCAAAAATATGTAATATTTCTAAAACTCAGACATGTGGCTGTCTCTGTGACCATGCTCATCCATTTTGTAGTTGTCTCTCAAACTCCAGTTGCATGGAGTCCTGTAAAAGAGCCCAGGGAGGAATTCAGAGAGCTGAATACAAAATATTTTAATCTAAAATCAAAATCCAGGATTAATCTACTTTCACTAAACAATTTCTATTTGTTTTTGAGGTATGCCAGAATAAAACAATTCAGTAACTGCAGAAACATTTACTGATACATTCACATACAATGGTGAAAAGGTTATATTAGATATAATGTTTGAAAGTGAATAATAACATCAGAGAGATTTCTAAAGATTTTGGTTCATCAGTTTTTGAAGAAGTGCATGAAGTTCTTAGTTTTAAATAATTATAATTGCTTACACTTACTTGGCACTTTTCTGGATACTACACTCAAAGCCCTTTACAGGTAATGGGGACTCCCCTCCACCACCACCAATATGCGGCCCCACCTGGATGATGCGACGGCAGCCATAGTGCGCCAGAACGCTCACCACACATCAGCTCTCAGTGAGGAGGAGAACGGAGTAATGAAGCCAATTCATAGAGGCGGTTTATTAGGAGGCCATGATTGGTAAGGGCCAATGGGAAATTTGGCCAGGACGCCGGGGTAACACCCCTACTCTTTTTTTGAGAAACACCCTGGGATTTTTAATGACCACAGAGAGTCAGGACCTCTGTTTTTTTACAGTATAGTGTCCCTATCAGTGTAATGGGGCATTAGGAACCACACAGGCCGCAGGGTGAGCACTCCCTGCTGGCCCCAATAACACCTCTTCCAGTAGCAGCCTTAGTGAGAAATTTTATCAGAAGCCTTCTGAAAATCTTAATACACCATATTGTACACATCATGTATATCCATTACTGCTGTTGCTTGTTCAAAGAACTCTAACAAGTTACTCCAGCAAGACCATCAAGGAGTGAGACCTGAACCTATTTATACATCCAAAGAGATTAACACTCAAACAAAGCTACTCAGCCGCCCACACTTATGCACTTTGATGTGATACTGTAATACTTGCCTATCATTAAGAGAAACAAAAGAAGCATAACAGAAAACTGAAGTTAAAAGTTAAATTTCTTATAAAGAAGCCTTTGAGTGGGTAAAATTAATAATTAATAAAAATGGACTTTAAAAAGTTTTGCTTATTTAAGGTTTTATATAATGACATACAATTTCCATTGCTGGTTTAAAATCAATGCATGGACTCATTATTGTAGTTTTGTGTCATAATCACCGCTTGTTAAGGAGACAGCTGTCCATTCCTATGCATTCTTACTAGCTCTGAAGTCCACGGCTTCCCACTGCTGGCTCTGCCCACAGTTTAAACTAAACCATGATGAGATCTGAGCCCGTGAAACTGTTATCAACAAACACTGCTTCTGACATGCCACAATTCGCACCTCTCGCCAAACTACCATTTACACTGCTTTCATCCAAGAATGATTAACACATGCTTCTTTTTAATGTTACTGTAAATAAACTCTCCTAGAATAAAAAAACAAAATTCTGTTTTCTAAACTGTTACATCAATTTCAGCAATAACATATTCCATATTCAAGGTTCTCTCTTAACACCTAATCAAAATCTTATCATGTACTGTTATCAGTATTCAAAAGATTCATTCATAACCTACATGTATATCCTTACGTGTGCACCACAGGATTTTACATTTTGCCAGTAAAAAATAAAAAATTGCAGAATGTGAAGCATCTCAAAAGGTAAGATAGCTTCTCTAAGCTTCAAGTGTTTGTCTGTGGCTTTTGTCATACCTTGATTTCTGAGTTTCAATGATCCTGACTAGTCCATTTGTTGATCTGTGAAGACACAAACAGCAAGGCCTTTAGGAAATGACAGTGAGCAGTGCGGCACAGTAACATTTATTCTGAAGATTTCACCTCTTACCTCACAACCTCCCTGAGCCGACAGAGTTCCTCTTCCCCAACTAAGTCTGTTTTGTTGATGATGGCAAGATCGGCCAGAGCAATCTGTCTAAAAGACAACCTTTTAGATTACTATAAATCAAATGGTTCCTTCATTTAATGAACAATCAATCAACAGTTATGCACACCATGCCTAGTGCCCAGGAACAGTATGTAGTAGGACATGCCATTCTTTAGGTGGTCACTACAGGTTCCATGGCACTGTTCATAAGAGAAGGGGCGTTAACTCAAAGCCCCCGGCTGAAACCCATTCTGGACTTGCACAATCTGACCTTCCCCAAGCTTTGCCATCAGCCATGTCACCCTGCAAGTCACAACTGGCAATCCCTACTGAAGCTCAGCAGGTGTGAGCCTGGCCAGTACCTGGATAGGAGACCTCCTGGAAAAAAAAAACTATGGTTGCTGTTGGAAGAGGTGTTAGTGGGCCAGCAGGGGGTGGTCACCCTGCGGTCTGTGTGGGCCCTAAGCCCCACTACAGTGACATGGACACTACACTGTAAAAAGGCACTGTCCTTCGGATAAGAGGTAAAATCAAGGTCCTGACTCTCCATGGTCATTAAAAATTCTAGAGCATTCTTTGTAGAGAATAGGGGTGTTACTCTGACGCCCTGGCCAAATAATCCCCATCTCTGAACTGGCTTCATCACTGTTCTCCTCCCCATTGATAGCTGGTGTGTGGCGAGTGTCCTGACGCACTATTGCTGCCATCGCATCATTCGGATGGGTACTGCACATTGGTGGTGGTTGGAGGGGAGTCCCCATTACCTGTAAAGTGCTTTGAGGGGAGAGTGTCCAGAAAAAAATGATTTTCCCTTAATCAAACAGGTCAAGCAGATTTTCACTTCCCTACATGATCTGCTGTAGTGCGTCTGCTGGTGTGTATCAGGGGCCACATGTCACCCAGGCGGGTGCTGATCTTCAGTTTCAAGAGAAATGCTTCCTCTTCTACAGTATATCAAAACTCGATCAGAATGGAAAGGACTATATAAATAAAGCTAATTATCAATTAATTAATTTTATGATTAACATTCGTTATCTGTGTACAAACTTCTATACATTTTATCTTTATGAATGATGTATTTTTGTTAACTCAGGCCAAATGGAACTAATTAAATGTAGTTTCAGGATGTTATGATCATCTGCAACACCACAATACTACTTAATAATTATCCATGGTCCCTCCTATGGCAGTACAACAATCGGTTTATTTTCTCTTTCTGTTTTAAATCAACTAAATGTGTGACTTACTAGTTCATCAATAAAATCACACCATCAATGATTTTTAAGATTGATTGTCAATTAAGTGACAATTAAACTTTCAACAAATCCATGGAAACAAAAACAAATGTTAAATATTCTGTACCTAGCGGCTTCGTTAATCTGTCCCTCTGGTTTCTCTTCAGTTAGATGCTATGACAGAAAAGAATCCCAAATTAGTTTGCCCGATTAACATTTCCTCTGATAAGTTTGAGCAGTTGCCAGCTCCTTTCGAGACAATATTTTTTTAAGGATGACAGAGGCCTTATTTGGGAATTATATATTTTACTTCATAATTAAAGCTCTTTTTTCGCCTTAAAAGAACATTGATGTAAATAAACACAATTCACCTAGACAATCACTGTAATAAAGCAGTACAATAGCCTTACCAAATTTAAAACTTCGACAATCAAATAAAAAGGGATTAGGAACAATTCCCTCCGCAGTCTCACACTGATTTATTGTGAGAAACATACAAGGTTTACATCTCCATTCATTCTTTGAAAATCAATAACTAAAGTCTCCACTTAAGACATGCTTTACCTACAGGCAATATTGTTTGGCAACAAAAAAAAATCTATTCTAGTATGTTTTATCTAATATGACTCAGTAAATGAAAAAAGTGACAGAGCTGAAATTAAAAAGAATGACAGAAGAGAATGCGTCTAAATTGAGCTAGATAATCATTTTAAAATGGTCTGACCCGAAAATATAACCACATAACCTTATTTAATTTCTTATATCACCTAATCACTTTCTAGATTTCAAATCTGAGCCTTTTTATTGTTAATGTTAAACAAGTAATAACAGAGCACATAAAATAGCAACCCTTTTTCTGACCTTTTCTTTTTCACTCGTTGGCCATGCATTGAGCGCTGCTGAAAGCTGGGGAGTTTTCAGATCCATATAACAAAAGAACAATGCCTTTGGCCTAGGTGTCAGGTCCTCCGAGTCTTAAAATTGGCATTTCAACTTGCCCCGTCATTTGCTCGTGATTAGGAAATGAATATTTCAGACGAGTGGGTGACAATCCCATTAGAGTGATAGGCTCTGATATCAATTACCCCTTCAGTTTCAATTTGGCACCCTGGGCATGCAAGGGCTCTCACAGCTACAGCTGTGAAGGGCTAGATCTGTGAAGCATGACACCCTTAAATTGCTGCCTATTATCTAGGTGTCATTACGATTGCTGTTCGCTGAATTGTTTAAATGGCAAGTAGACGTTTTAAGAGGTGGGGGGACAGAAACTAGTAAAGGAAGGCTGTTGTGACAGGTTTTGATTTTAAAAACAAAGTACATTTTATTTCGTTTAAATAACAGGCTTGTTTTTCATTTTGAGTTGAGCGACTAGCAACTGCTATGCATAAGTATTATTACTTTATAGCAGGTGCCTACATGACACTTCATTTCTAAATATTTCACAGGTAAATAGATGAAGAGAAACTGATCTCTTTGAATACGTTATATGCAATTTGAAAACAACATATATGGCACAGAGATTTCAAATAAGTGATATATGTGAATCCTACTTGAATATGTGAATCCATATTTCTCAGCACTGTATATTCATTTATATACAGATAACTATCAAAACAAAAGAAACACCAAAACAGCTTCATTGCACCTTAATATAAATTCTACAAGTGTCTAGAAATGTGCTGGAGCGAAGAGACATCATTCTTCCATGAGAAATTCCATGCTCTGGTTGTTGTGTTGATGGTGGTAGCAAATGCTGTCTCATGTGCTGCCCCAGAATCTCCTATAAGTGTTGAACTGGGTTGACGTCTGGTGACTGGGATGGTTTGTTTAGGTGTAATAAAGTATTTATTGACTGAAAACCAACCATAGCATCCCTCTCTGAGGTTCTCGACAGACTACATGATGAAACAGCCTTCTAACACCTTAGATTGACATTTGCAATTAAATGATTCAGGTTTTCTTGTTTGTTTACCTTGCATCTCAAACCAGAACATGGACATTACGGTTGAGGAATGTGCACTTTCCTCCACGGTTGTCCCTAGCTGATGATGTCTTTGATGTTGGACTTTCATGTCAAACATCACCTTAGCCACTGTTCCCCATGAACCATAAGTTGAGCACGTTTTTGTCACTGAAGCTCCTGACTAATGAACCCCAACAATCACCACTCTCTCAAAAAGCCGGAGTCTCTTCTTCTAGGCATGGTAGCCAAAAGAATGGACAACTGGGTCGGATCAGCATTTTTCTACATGACCCTAAGCATGATGGGATGCTACCTGCTTAATTAATTAAGCAACCACACCTGTGTGGAAGCGCCTACTTTCTCTACATCTGTCATTTACTCAAGTGTTTCCTTTATTTTGGCAGTTATCTGTAGATTAGAGGAGGACATAATTCACACAGGGCATCACAGTGCTTTGAATTGCTGCCTTACAGTGCTGGGGCCCTGGGTTTAATTCCTGAGGTACTATTTGTGTGAAGTTTTTATGTTTTAAAACATTCTTATCAGAGAAATAATAAATACATAGTTGCATAATTTATGTAAAAATAGCAAACATTGATAACATTTAATATTTACAATTTTCTAATAAGGACATCTACAATATACTGATTTGTATATCAGTATATTGGTTAACACTGCATATTAATTTCATCATCAGTTATTATTACTACAAAAAACATATTTAAAGAAATAAACTTTGAAATATTTACCTGCATGGCATATTTTGCATCTATGACTGTTACAATACCTGCAAATGAATATTCCATTATTTTCACTTGAATATTAAGTTCAAATTTTAAAATTAAACATTTGAATATGTTTTCCTACACCCGTGGGTCCCAAAAACATTCCTGAAAATGTGAATTGATATTGAATGAGTTGATAGTCAACTCATTGGCAAGTCATGGTACAGTTTTGGCTACTTCATAATTGTAATTAAAGTAGACGTCTCAGATAAGCATTCAGTGGACACCATACATAATAATGAAAGCATCACCAATAGGCTGGTACAGCTGAAAACCCATGTAAAGACTTAATTCTTCCAGCAAGGAGTCACACTGGGAGAGCAGCATGTGGCACAAATAATGAATGCAAAAAAATTAAAAGACAATCAATACTCACAAGCAATCAACAAGATTCGAAAAATGAAGACTTGCACAGCACTGACTCCTGACCAAAACAACTGATATTCAGGATCAGAACACAAAAGAACAGTGGCTGAGATTCCCTCTTAGCTGTATTTAAATGGATGATGTGCCGCTGGTTTGAGATAGGCAAAGTGTGCTTGGTGGCCTCAACTGAGGAATGAGTTGGTCGGGCCCACATGCCTGCAGGACATAACTGCATCCAAGCTCCACCTGTCACTTCTTTTCTAGTCCGTAAAAGTAAAGCCTGAGTCTAATGCCTGACCTTGCGTTTGACAATGTCTGCTTTTTCTCTTCAGTTTCCCAAGATGAGAATAAGAGATGGGTAGATAAGCTGGATCAACAAGTTGGATATCCAAATTCAAGAAAGACACCAAAGATTTCAGAACGCTGGTTTCTAGATTAACGGAATAGATTTTACTTACCATCGAGATAAATATCGCTTCCCAGTTCAGCATCGACCCAAAACATAGAAGCTACAGCTCCTGTGGGACAAAGAGGAAGGTCAGAAAAGACTGGGGTGTTTGAATCCTTAACTGAGAAACCCAACCTGAAGTGCAAACAAAATGTTCAGTTATTCAAGTCTGTCCTTGACCTCTTCATGTCTTTGATAAACTATCTATAAACAAAGAATGAAAATCTTTAAGTTCCTTTATGGTCCAAACATTTCCCAAGATTTCTATTTTTAACATTGTAACTATAACACTGGACGAAGTTATTTATTGAAAGGGCAAACACAAGAAATTCTCAAATCTGTTCTATACCTCAAAATAAACTTTCTAAATTCCTAAATAATATTGCTGCTCCTTCATTACCAATAATGCTAATTAAAGAAATGCTGATTACTTTATGGTTTTTCCACTGGGTAGCTCACAATCCAAAATAACCAGTGCGTTCTTGCCTTTACCAAACTGATAGCCGGGCAAGCTCACACGCTGAGCCATTCTTTAAATGTTAGGAGAGGAAAAGAAAGCAATGTAAATATTTCATAGGAAAACGAAAAAAGCGTGACACTTAACTGATTTAACATGTATCACTGCAATAGCTTTTTGGAAGAAACTCTGTGCGGAAATGATGGTATTCTACTTATTTTCCCCTCAAAGGAGCTGCTAGTGACAGGTCTGTCTCGTCGGATGAAACTCCAGGGAAAAGGCTGGTGGAGGGAACTCATTCCGAGACTGTCCTGAGCCATCTCCCTGGACCGGCGAGGCGAGAACAGCCCTCGACTGCCACTCATGTCAGCCCTCAAACACCTGTCACTTATTTACACTGCTTACTCATCCAGGATACAGCCACGGCCTCACCATCTAATGACTTACTGACTTCTATTGATTTTTTTCTCCAAAAGGCTTAATAGTTTTCCAATCTTGTTGAAATAGGATTTCCCCTGCTGCAAGCGCTGAATCAATTTTTTCTTTTTTTTTTTTACTACTTCGCTTTAGATCAAGAGTAAACAGCACACATATCACTTTGATTTGAACGTACATGCACAGGTCCTTTGAAAAGGAAACAATTGTCGACAAAATGAGAATGGTCAATTACAGTGATGTAGACCACAGGAACATAATCAACTTTTAGCCTTACCTGATTGTCTTCTTAACGGGTATTATTAACCTAAACTCTGAACTAATCTGTGTTTGAACTGTGACAAACAAGGGAAGTTAGTGATCATTCTAAAATATGAAAGGTGTGTCTGTACATAGTAATAGATGAAGAGAAAGAGAAAACAAATCAGAGTGGTTCAAATATGTGGCAATACAATGAAGAATTCAGGGAACTAAAGATCTTGCAATACAGTTTTCACCTTTTGCAGCTGGCTCACAAGGTCTGGAAAATGAGTCGCAGAATTCTTTATTAAAATGACCAGAATCTGATTCATATCTGATCTCTCTCCTATTTCATCATCTTAGTACGTATCACAAAAATAAAAACTCCATCTGCAGTATTTATCCATAGAGAATTGTATTTTGTACATTTACAGTAGCACTAAGCCCCTCCTTTGCTGTACTGAAATGGCTTGGTCAGTCCTTCTACACAGCAGATATTCACCTCTTCATGTGGGAGAGCACCTGTTTGAAAGGTCATCATCTTAATTGCTTACGTTTCTTTTTTTTCAGGAATATGTTCTTCAAAGAATCTACAACATTCGTCAGAAATATTTTGTTTAGAAGAAACTCTAAATTTTCATCTCTGAGCCTTTGAAAGGCATGGTGACTTTTACAAAGTAATGTACAGGGAGTTTGCTCATGCCAATCTACATTTGAGTCGTTTTCATATTTGTACAGTAATTTTTAATCAACTGATTCGAGGCCTAAACTATTAGTGCCCTTGGACTGAAAAGTGCATTAACACTTTGTATTTATATAAAAAGTATCTAAAATCATACTGGGAATATATAATGGGTGGTAATAAATTCAAATTAGGTAAAATGTCTTTCATTCTGCACGACAATTTCCAAAATCCTCTCTTATTTGTCTTTGAAAACCTTTCTTTAATATGAAAAATTACATAGGCTAGCATGGCAGCTTTCAAAAAGTACTAATATCACTTAAAGCAAGACCAGCAAGGAATTAAACAAACAGTGAAACATACAAGACCCCACTCTTTTGCTAAAGGAGGAAATATGGACTGTAGGTCCCTGGAGGCTGTTTTTCTATCCAATGAACTGAAGTCTAATTTCTTCCTGTTACACTGAGCTCATAAAGAAAACTTGAGGACAGCAGTCAAGTTAACCTCAGGTGAAATCAAAGAATGTCTCCTTCATAGTGTGATGCCACTTAATGTCAGTATTGTTTAACAAATTAGCTAACGTTTAACTCTTATGTCAGCATGCTGCTGTTATCGATTTAGAAAGTGTCAGACTGCAAGTTAGCCAGAGTGTTTTTCATCTCGAAAGCAATACTAAGAGCAGTGAAGTGTCTTAGTACTTTTTACAGCAATGGCCACTAGCAAAAGATGAGCCTGAGAGGATATTAATTAGTCAGTATTAATGTTATTGATGCAACGATTTGTGGATATTAACTATAGTACTAGAAGACAATGTTTGCTATGCAGAAATGAATTAGAGTATTTGATAGTCTTGTCTTTGAGTACAACAATATAAAAATTAAAGAGAATCAAACATTACAGACATATGGAAGAAAGGATATTTATTTTACTACTTCTTTTAATGAGCTTTTTCCTCATTTTTTTAACTTATGTCTTTCTTCTGTTGAGCACAGTATTTTCACACTAAAACCTGGTTCCCTTTGCTGTTCTATGAAGGATATGTTTGTCTTCTGTGGAAACTACTTGACTTGTGTCAAGGTAACTGCCTTGATGAGCCCTAGCACTCCTTTGATTTGATTTTATTGCCGTTATCTAGGATGTACTACACCTGAATAACATTAAACCTGAATGCAAGCGTTTGAGACACCCTTGTTTGTAACATTAATACTGCCTGCTGTATTGTTAGTAAAACGGCCTGTGGACCTTAGGACACAGCAGAAGAGGTAGTTAAAGTTTGCTTTTCTTACATCTACTTTATTTTAGGTTTCTTTGCTTACAGGTACAATGATGACTGCTGGTCTGCTAACTAAGTAACAAAGGACAAACCAAATCAATGATTGAGCCCAGCACACTATATGGCTAATTTGTTATAGATAAAGTTTTGGTGATAGCATGGCTTCTTTCCCTTATAATCAATCTTATGCTCTTCTAATTACAGAAACAGCATTGACTGTAGTAAAAATAAATGTGTTAAAGCTGTGGTGTAAATAACATTTTGACAAGGATGGTATATACTGCTTGTTTTTTTAAGATCAGTAATTCATTAACTTTTTTTGAAAAAAAGGAACATTTGTTTGACAAATGTATTCTAAATCACGGTATATATGTCTTCATATTAAAGTGTAAGAAGCAATTTGAACATTACCTGGATCAGCCAGTCCAGTTGTCTCCAACAGTATATAGTCAAACTTTCCCTTTTTCTCCATGAGATTCTCGATGGCTTTGAGTCCATTATCTCTTTAAAAACCAGGAAAGAGATTATGTAGAAATGGGAGCTCAAAGTAGCACTCAAAAAAAGAATGCCTACTAAATTATGTAGAATACATTCATTTTTATAACTAAACTTTACAGCATAATATAGTGATGCAGATAGGAAAAGAATCAGTGAGTTTTACATCCAAAACATATTATATTATTTGCTAAACCAAAAATACCAAAGATAAAACCAAGTCTGTGTGAGTAAGGAATATTAGTGGAAGATCCGGGGGAGAAAGAGCTATGTTTCTGAGAGAGGGAATTCCATTTACTGCCTGGTAAATGGCATATTCTGCTTCAACAATAAGCACATGGGTCCAGAGTAAGCACAAAGCTACTGTTGCTCTGTTAAGGCAGACGGTTACATCCATCTGACACTTGTGTAACCACTTTCAGACAGCAGCTGCAGTATTACTCAAGCACATTAACAGTAATCAAACTGCAGTTGATCCTAAACTAAACAGCTTTAGCCCTTCAGAAAACACAAGTTTTAGTCATGCAGTTATAAGTTAAGAAATAAAATGGCCATGTTTTCTTTACAGTTTTCATCAAAAATATATAAGAAAAGCCTGAGAGAGGATGTCCTGGACCCATATAGCTTATTTGGCTACAGTAATTGAGTTGCTAAACAATTTCTCAGGTTTTCTTTTTTTTTTCTTGCGAGTAGAGTGTTAGCACAGTGATAATGATTTTTCAGAGTGGAATTACTTTACTGAACAGCAAAGACAGCCATTTCGAAGCTCCAGCCACTCCTCGTACAGCTCTCCTGCTTGACTCACTGCCAGCGATTTCTCCAAAGCACTTCCTAGAGAAAAGTCACAAGGAATTCAGTGAGCAAAGTGCACTGAAAATCATAATTAAACAGCTGTAAAATTATACTACAGTAGAACTGTATTTAAAAAAAGACCTGTTAGCAGATATAAAAAAATACATATAAAAGAAACCAATTAAGAAAACCAATTAAATCTCAAAGAAATTCCGATCAATTCTGATCAACAAAAAAAGAAAATTGATTTATTTATTAGCTAATGAACATAACTATGAAACAACAGCAATTTATTATTTAAATTAACAACAATATTATTTAAATGTTCAGTTGAAACATAAAATCGATTTAATAAATTGTATTATAAATGAATCACTTTATATAGAAACATGGTATTTTTTGCACTAAATAAAAAGTCAAATTAAGACAATCCAATTCAACAAATACTTGAAAAATATTTTCAAAACAATTGGCAACATGAGCTTAAATTGTTTAGAAGTCTTGACAGTAGAATCTTTCAGAAGGAATCTTAAACAAATTGAAGCTTAAACTACAGTGCCTTGCGAAAGCTTTCGGCCCCCTTGAACTTTTCAACCTTTTGCCACATTTCAGGCTTCAAACATAAAGATATAAATTTTTATTTTATGTGAAGAATCACCAACAAGTGGGACACAATTGTGAAGTGGAACGAAATCTATTGGATTTTTGAAACTTTTTTAACTAATAAAAAAATGAAAAGTGGGGCGTGCAAAATTATTCGGCCCCCTTGCGTTAATACTTTGTAGAGCCACCTTTTGCTGCGATTACAGCTGCAAGTCGCTTGGGGTATGTCTCTATCAGTTTTGCACATCGAGAGACTGAAATTCTTGCCCATTCTTCCTTGCAAAACAGCTCGAGCTCAGTGAGGTTGGATGGAGAGCGTTTGTGAACAGCAGTTTTCAGCTCTTTCCACAGATTCTCGATTGGATTCAGGTCTGGACTTTGACTTGGCCATTCAAACACCTGGATACGTTTATTTGTGAACCATTCCTTTGTAGATTTTGCTGTATGTTTGGGATCATTGTCTTGTTGGAAGATAAATCTCCGTCCCAGTTTCAGGTCTTTTGCAGACTCCAACAGGTTTTCATCCAGAATGGTCCTGTATTTGGCTGCATCCATCTTCCCCTCAATTTTAACCATCTTCCCTGTCCCTGCTGAAGAAAAGCAGGCCCAAACCATGATGCTGCCACCACCATGTTTGACAGTGGGGATGGTGTGTTGAGGGTGATGAGCTGTGTTGCTTTTACGCCAAACATATCGTTTTGCATTGTGGCCAAAAAGTTCGATTTTGGTTTCATCTGACCAGAGCACCTTCTTCCACATGTTTGGGGTGTCTCCCAGGTGGCTTGTGGCAAACTTTAGACGAGACTTTTTATGGATATCTTTGAGAAATGGCTTTCTTCTTGCCACTCTTCCATAAAGGCCAGATTTGTGCAGTGTAAGACTGATTGTTGTCCTATGGACAGACTCTCCCACCTCAGCTGTAGTTCTCTGCAGTTCATCCTGAGTGATCATGGGCCTCTTGGCTGCATCTCTGATCAGTCTTCTCCTTGTCTGAGCTGAAAGTTTAGAGGGACGGCCAGGTCTTGGTAGATTTGCAGTGGTCTGATACTCCTTCCATTTCAAGATGATCGCTTGCACAGTGCTCCTTGGGATGTTTGAAGCTTGGGAAATCTTTTTGTATCCAAATCCGGCTTTAAACTTCTCCACAACAGTATTACGGACCTGCCTGGTGTGTTCCTTGGTCTTCATGATGCTCTCTGCGCTTTCAACAGAACCTTGAGACTATCACAGAGCAGGTGCATTTATACAGAGACTTGATTACACACAGGTGGATTCTATTTATCACCATCAGTCATTTAGGACAACATTGGATCATTCAGAGATCCTCGCTGAACTTCTGGAGTGAGTTTGCTGCACTGAAAGTAAAGGGGCCGAATAATTTTGCACGCCCCACTTTTCATTTTTTTATTAGTTAAAAAAGTTTCAAAAATCCAATAGATTTCGTTCCACTTCACAATTGTGTCCCACTTGTTGGTGATTCTTCACATAAAATAAAAAAATTATATCTTTATGTTTGAAGCCTGAAATGTGGCAAAAGGTTGAAAAGTTCAAGGGGGCCGAATACTTTCGCAAGGCACTGTGAACAAGGGGAAATCAGAGACAGCCCACCACTGTCATCTTGTGGTTTTAACCAGTATTGCACTTGAGTAGAATTTTCATACTTTTTGCTTTCAAATGTTTAAGCTCATGCAACATCTTCAAATCCTTCTCTTTTTAAACGCTATTATGATCATAGAATTCACAATTATTTATTTATCTTTACCAACCAGTTGGTCACCAACTACAATAAAGGGCACCAGACCTCAACATCAACAACAGCTATGAGCCTAGTACAATAATGCTAGAAATTAGCATGCTTTCATCTTCAACCTAGAGAATAATCAAGAATAGGCTGAACAACTCTGCAACTGGTTACTATTTCTAGATACAGTACCTTCTCCAAACTCATTCAGAATAACCGCAATCCTCTTGTTGTGCTGCTCTGTTAATATGTAATTTAAAAGAGTTGTCTTTCCAGCACCTAAAAAGAAATCAAAATACAAACATAAACTATTTGTACCAAAGTGGATGAATAAGTCTCTTCATTAATGTGAAGTAAAAAAGTAGTACTTATCATGTCATGAAGGCAAGACATTAGCTTGTTCAAGCCAATTTTGCCCAAGTTTCTAAAATGAGTGTAATTCTGTTACAGTATTACTAAGCTATATTGCAACAGTAAATAAGAAATCATTAAGATATTCAACATGGATCATGCCCTGGCTCCCGTGCTACCCTGAACTAAACATATTGGTTAGTAAATGAATGAATGGAAGAATCCCTTGAAAAAATAGAATGAAAACCCTTACAATAAAACAAAGTAACTTTAAAATTGTACATAGACATCAAAAACACAGTAATAATGGAAAATGTTTTGTCCATACAAACAGCTCAGATGAAGCAGGCTGAGTACTATAAGAAAACCTTGTAAATTATTTCACTTCCAGAATTTTTCAAATACAACGTTCATGCCTGATTATTCAGAGAAATGAATTATGTGCATGCTGAAAATATGTTCCTCTGTGCACTGCAAGACTTACCTAAATATCCTGTAATGATTGTAACTGGTATCTGAGCTGCCTGGGTATTCAATTCGTTCTCAATAGGTACCAGTACAGGACAGTCATCACCTTCCTCCAATAAAACATCTTCCATATCTGCATTAAACAGAAATTACTGAGGGTGATTTCCGCACCACTGTATTACCTGCATTTTATTTTCCGAAGCTTTAAACACCTATGTAGATCAGTGACGGGGGTGTACTCTCACAATAATCCTTCTTGTTTTGCATCGTGCGTTTTCAAATCCTGCATATTTCATAATGATACAATCTCAATAATCCGGAATTTGCACTCAAAACCTAATTGTATACGCTATGCCAATTTCCTCTGTCAGAGCTCACTTCCATGACAAAAATACAGGGTAAAAAATGATGACATTTTAAACTTTAATATTATTTATTAACTATAAATATTAACTTCAATATTTGCAAACTTAGTCAAGTGTGAACAGTCTCCATATTCTTAATGCTGCTTTGTCTGCAAACTCATCAACACAGACCACAGGGCACAGTACTGACTACTGAACTCGGTGGCTAAGATAAAGGCTGATTTTTGTCTTTCATGTTAACGTGTTGAATACTCAGTCTAAATCCTTCGAAAGACAGATGTTTTGGTTTAAAATATTTTATATGTTATAAGTTCAGAGCATTCGATACCAAAACAGTTTTCTAACAACAAGCGAATATAATTGCAGACCTTAGGGTTAGCATCCTCCCTTCTGAACAGTGTTCCTGACTTGACAATAGTGTTTAACTCTACTTGTTTGACCATGGGCTGTGTAAGTAACTAGTCACATGCTGCACCTTAATTTGCAAATTCAATAGAAACCTTATACCATCTTTTTTTAATGTTATTAAAAATAATAAAAGTGATATCATTATCACTATTATCATAATTAGCCAACAATAAATAAAGCAATGAAAAACTGATGGAGATATCTAGTGTCTAAACTGTTTGTTAACATTACGTTTTCGATGTTGATAAATACAGTATATAGTACTTTTTCTTTTCCAAATATGTCTGCCGTATGCAGCCTTTAATCCACAGGGCACATGAAAAAAACATTATTCGTATTAATAAAAACAATAATGTTAATGCAAACTAACAGAGCTATTATTTACATATTTATAAGAAGCTTGAGGAGTATTTACTTATAGCTCACAATGTAGTTACACCATCAGGTTGCGATGACCTACGGGAAACCTCAGACTGAAACACGGACATCCTCAATAGCGATTTAAATAATACTGTAGCAGCTCAATAACGCCTTTCAGTCAACTCAAGTAAAAAAGAAGCACACCTTGTTTTAGCTGTTGAGCAACTGCAAATAAGATGAGGAATATATTGTAATCGAAGGAAACCGTTCAAACTTTGTATAAAATAAATTAAAGCCCCTGTTTTAGCGAAATACTTCTAAAAGCAGTCACTGTAATACCCGATATTAGTAACCGCGGCTTAACCTATATAGATCACCGTTGCACATTGCACGCCCTGCCCGTCTTCCGGTGTTTCATTATATCCATTCCTCCAGATAGAAATGAAATAGGGTTCCTTCTAATGAAATAAAGCGCTCTCTGCTCAAGATACAAGTTTAATTCCACCTCCATAAAAAATGTCAAGGTTTTTTTAAATCAAGCAATGTGGCTATTTCTTAAAAGAACAATGCTGGAAAGAGATAAAGAGAAGACTGGAAATAGAGAAACGTAGCTGTTGAAGCTCTTGAAAACATAACGTCTAACAGCAGAGGCCGATAGAGAACAGAGAATAGATAGAGCATTTGAGGCACTTTAACGGCAATCATATTTTAACGTATGTATCTGCATATTCATATATATGCATTATCTATTCATTTATTTTCCAACCACTTTATCATCAGACATCAATGTTCTTTTTTGTTCTTTCTAGCTAATGAAACTAGGGGTTCATTTACGTTTTCACATCCTCTATTAAATGCAAACTGCTGCTTGTGGGAAAAGGTAGTCTCGACCGGCTCGGTCAGGCCAACTCCTAGCGGTTGACAGGCTTGTCATGGCCAGAGGATTTGGCACCTATTCCAGCAGTCCAGAAGCCAATAACGCTGGCCTTCTTCAAGGTTTTCTAAAAACTCCTGGGACCCAGATCTTAGATCGAGGTCATCCAAACCCCTACAGGGTGGAGGCAGGGGTGTTTGAATCCTCCCCGAATCTTAAAGGATGAGCTGGATTAAGGGAACACTGCTACTAAACGGGGCAGTGCAGTTGATGGGACTCTATCTGTATGAGAAAATAGCATAAATAAAGTTAGTATCAAGCTGTAATGCTGTCTTTGGCCTCACAGTGGCATCCTTCATCACTTTTCTCCTTGCCCAGTTGCTTGGGTTGGAGGAATTGCCAATTCTACAGTAGGTATATTGCCTGGGTGTTACAATACACCTTCCATTTCCTGATAATTGAGTTGACAGTGCTCACCAGGATATTCAGATTTTCTGATATTTTTCGACCCTTCACCTGGTTTGTGCTTTTCATTAACTTCATCCCTGACTTGTTTTGAAAGTTCTTTAGTGTTTATAGTTGATTTCTTTACTTGAAGAAATTCATTTCCTGATCAAGGAGCCTCACAGAAATAGGAGGCTTTGGTCGAAATAATGCTAATCACTATTATTGCACATAGACAAAGACAACTGAATTAATTGTCTGGCTCATTGAGGTAATTTTGTAAGCCTAAATAAACTATATTAGCTACAGCAAAGCCAGGGGCACTTTGAAGACTTAAGCTCTAATTTTATGTTTATTTCTTTATGCTTTTTCCTTTGAATGTGTGGAGTAGGTTGTGTATAAAACAAATATTATTTTATACTTTAAAATGTCATGACTGTAAGCTTTAAAGCAACGAAACGTTGAGAACGGTGCAAAGGTCTGAACACTTTTGCAATGCATTGTATGTTTTTCAGTCACATCTCAACAATGTTAAAAACTCATCAAAATAATATTCCTATTCCTTTTCCTTATCAAGCTGATATAACGCAGATGTCAGTGTCTCAGGAGATCCATTCACACAGGAGCTCCAATCAATGTGCACACTCACATTCACACTCCTGCTCCTGGTGCTGCTATGAACTCTGGGCTGAGGAGTCTGTGTATGCTTTACACACCTCCTTATTTAACCTTGCTGACAGACTACCTACAATATCTCCTGTCCTGTGTGTTTCAAGCTTCAACCCCTTGAAAAACACCTTCCTTGTAGTTCATTAATGGTGTACAGCGAGAATATTTAATTAGCACTTTAAGTTTGAAATTGTTAAATAATAGGCTGCATGCACTGGAACAGAATGTGAATTACCTGTAAATGGTGTAATGTAAAACAAAACTGTCAGAAAGTTGGACTAAAATATTATTCAAATATTTGAAAGATTTGCCATCAGTGTTTGAAATATGTATCTTGAGACTTCAGACTTTCATTTCCCAGTCAAACAATTGTTTCCTTTAGTCAACTAAGTTATCTTTTACTTCAGGCAATTGCATATACTTGTTTACTGATATTAATTCCTAATAAGGCCTTTCAGCCTGAAAAAGTCTATACTTCTAGTCTATACTATGCTAGTCTATACTAATATGTTTTCTATTACTGTATTCATTTCAATTTCCTTGTTTCTAGAGGAAGATATAAAGTTAAATTGTCTTCATAGTAAAATCATTTCGCTTTCAAGTTGAATAAATATTGCAGTTGTTGTTTTAGATAAATCCATATGTGAATGTAAAGTACAAAAAGGCATCAAAAGTGTAGTTTTGTAGTCACAATCTATTAATTGCAATGATTAAACAAAACAGTCTAGGAAGCCACAAAATGCTAATCAGAAACTCCTAAAAGGTAATTAGTCATCTGTGGCAATAACGCCTGAGGGAAGATCAATATTTCATTCTATCACAAGTCAACAGGGAAAACAACACTAATCATCACATTTTAGGTTAAATCTAAAATCAATGCCTGTGTCTGAGGCATTTATATGAGCTTGAGCTTCAGACGGTACTGAGAAACAGCACGTTTTCTTTTTTTTAAATTGGAGATTCTAAATGTAAATACAATGTGTTTTACATGCACTCTATTGGCATCTGAGAAATAATATTTTCTACTTATTTGCAAATACGTGTACTATAAAATGGCTTCATTACTCTGTTCACCTCCCCAGTAACAGCTGATGTGTGGTGAGCGTACTGGCACACTTTGGCTGCTCTCGCAACACCCAAGTGGATGCTGCACATTGGTGGTGGTGGTGGAGGGGAGTCCCCATTGCCTGTAAAGCGCTTTGAGTGGAGAGTGTTCAGAAAAGCGGTATCTAAGTGTGAGGAATTATTCTTATAAAGCGATTGGCTGCCCAGACTGCGTCTGATGTATAACTTGAGCATTTGGAATTGCTCCACGTATCCGACATCTATCAATTTCATATACGAACAATTCAAAGTTATAGTCTTAAATTCATTGTGAATAAGACGCTAATTGAAAATCATAAAAAGAACATTCTGTTCAGTTATTAGCACTGTAGTCTATAAAGCCGTTTTGCCCTGATTTTTACATGTATTTAATTTAAATGGTGAAGGAGACAGATGTACCAATTTTTTATCTAACCCATATGCTACCAGAATAAACCAGGACTCGATAGTATAGTTTTGTCAGCTCCAGTAAATTTCCTATTTTTATCAAAAACATTTTTTAGAAGATGCACGCATTTAATAATTAGAGATAAGAGCTTGACCGTGGTGTGGCACCGTTAGTTTTTTAATGGAATCTCCGGTTAAACATTTCTAGCATTTCCGTTTTAAGTGATGGCCTAGCGCTTTTAAATTATTTGCTTGAAATATAAAAACAGCCACGTTCTACAGAGAACAGGGAAGCTGGTTTAATTACATGTAAATTCACACGAACATAGCGCAGAGATGAAAAATAGAAACATGTGAGACAAAAAAAACCCCGCTCACGTACATTCTAATGAACACTTTCTATTTTTAGGGGAGTTATTCTGGTGAAGATTCTGGTTAACAATAGATGTGAAAATGTAACTATAATTCTCCCATCACAACATAGAAACGTTGTTAATTATATTTAAGAGATGATCTGTGGTTTCTATGTACCTTGCACTCCTTGTCTTGTTAATCCACAAACTGACCACTTTGGACTCTCCGTCTTCTGTCCCCGCTGCCCTTTCTATGTTTACTTAAACTATATTAAAAAAAATAGACATTCTATTGTAATGTTTAGGACCTGTATCACTCGCTGTACTGTGTTGTACTAATCCAAATTTAGGCAACTTCTAAAAAGTAAAAAAAATAGTTCTTAAGAGTTTATGAAAATGAATGAGCAAAAAATGTGCTGTGTCCTAGAAACAGTTTTACATTATGTTACCAAGAAGTTGCGGGTAGCAATGATTACATTAACGCCGGATATTCTATATTTTAACAATCTGATTTATATTTAGTTCTTGTTTCTAGACATCGTTGCACTGCTTGCAAGGTGATTAACACGCTCTGCTTGCGGCGATCTTCCGAGAAGGTTAAGCTTCAGGAGCCAAATTCCTGAAGCGCAGTTCTTGGACTCTCCTCTCACACTTTGCGCTTATCTCGCAAGGGATGGGTACGAAAACTCCCTCCCAGCAGCTTTCCTCTCCTCTGTTTGGAAGCTGAAAATGCGGAAGTTTCCACCCAGACTCACAGCACTGCCACTGCAACGATCAGCCCCATGACATTTCGACCAGGACGAATAAAGTTGCCACTGTGAGGAGTTTCGCGGTACAACCGGAATAAACTTATATGGCCACCTTGCCAGCTGCCGATAGAAGGGCGTTTGCTCTTAAACTCAACAGGTAAGCATGTTTTAATAATTGGTTGTTGTTTTTTTGTTTCATTTAGAGCAGTGCTTTTCCATGCGAGACTCTTCTGCGCTGTCAAAATTTTACGAATGCTGGAATTCATAACAAGCTGTTACACGCTGCGAAGGTTAACATGAAGGAGGCGTGCACAGTTCCGTGTCTGTTTTATTGATATTCCGTTTAATTAAGATGAATGCTTGTCTGAAAAATAAACGTGATTCGCATGCCCATTAGGTTTCATTACCAGTCAAAATCAAAAGCTGAAACAAGAATGACTTTTTAGTTTGTTTTTATTATAGCACAAGCATGTGCTATTCCGCACGGAACATCAAGGCGCAGTGACTGCACTGTGAGGCCAGACTAAAAATTAACAGAATCTTGTAGACCGCCAGACTGCTACACTTCTAGCCCAGGATTTTTGCATTTTCCAGTCACACCATCCTAAAATTCAGAAGTCATCCACTCTTCTGGCATTTTTCATGGGTAGGCCACTAGAAAGATCACATTTTGAATGATTTGGTATATATTTAGCATGGTTAAGCAAAATAAATATTACATTTATATAAACAGAAAATTGGCTATGACTTTCTTTATTAATGACAATGGCATTAACAGCTTTTGTTTTTATCTTTAAAAAACAGCAGACAATGGCAGCAGTTATGTTTAGGGTGAAACATTTAGTTGAATTTGCTCTCAAAGTGCTGCTTGAAATCTAAAGCCTAGAGAGAGAACTGTTCCACCCTTCAAGGACTCAAAGTCGGTTCTGTAAGTCTGGGGAAGTGTCCAATCTGTAGGTTTTCATAGTAGGTGTGCCATTAATTTTAACTGTATTGTTAAAAATGTTACATTACATTTATGAAAAACATTAGCAAGCTTTTAATACATTGATTTAAAGGAATCTGAACATATCCCAGGATCGTCAGCCTGAAGAAAGTAAGACCTGAAAAAAAGTCACGGACTACCTTCCTTCTTAAATAATTTTTGACAAACCCAGAGCTACAGAGGCTCAAAACCTTATTTTTAAATTACTTGACAAATCCTGTCATTTTCAAAGGACTTAAGGAAGGTTACAAACAAGAAGAAGCCATTGTATTCATCAGCTAACTGAAGCAGGACCTTGTCCGGCCATTTCTTGAAAGAAGCCATGGTATCAGCTTAGACAACATGGCTGTAGCTTGTTCCAGACTCCCACAAACCTACTAATGATTTTTCCATTTGGTTTTTAACAAGGTGCTAATTACAAGAGCCCTAAAAAACCCCACAGACCCGCAGTCCCCGAAGGGTGGGAGAGAAAACAGCTTCGTGCAGGACTTCAGTTTATACAGCACCAAGTGCTCATTCCTGCTGTTGCAGAGATGGGAAGTCCTGTTTGCGCCATTTCCTATTAAAGACTCTTTTCTCCACTTCTTCTTTTGCTGTCCCTCATTAGATTTTTTTGTTCTTTACGGTCTACTGGTGTGCTTTTACATTTAAGAAATGCAAGTAGTGGAACACTGCAATGCTTTTTTTCTGCTGAAAATGAGGTGAATGTGGTCACTACCATTTCACCATTGCCATCTGTATGGGAAAGACGTATGAGACCGTCCTGACTTGTATCTACTTGTTTTTGACACACTGTATGCAGTAGAATACAGTAAGAGATGAGAGACATTGAGAGATTATCTTACATCATGTCAGTTTTGTCAAATACTTCTTTATTGATTGATCAGCAAATTCAAAATGTTCAAGGAACCATGTGATGTTAAATAGTTCTGTAATTCCGCTTATACTGCATGAGTCATAAATATATTTAAAGTATTGATTTACATAAAGGTTTGGCTTGTGTAAGGCATTTGTTTTGCTTAGTGCACATTGCTGAGCTTGCTGGGCAGCTTTCATAGGTTGTCTGAGAAGTGAGTCTGTAAGGATCATGGTCTCTGAAACATAAAGCAAAGAAAAATCGAAACTAGGACATGTCATTCGTTTGGCTGAAGCTTTTTAACCCATTTCAATTCACAAAACTCTAAAAAGTAAGTGGTAGAAATATATATTTCAATTCACTGACAACAGTAGGTTATAATGTCTCTCAGATAAGAAAACAAAACATCAAAAATTACAAGATTTCTCAGCAGGTCACTGCCAGAATAGTGTATAATATTGTAGTTCTCCCTACAGTTTTTTTTTTTAAAGCACCTCCCTGTGTAGCTTTCAGTTTGGTTTTCTCGCTGATGTGGCTAACCCAGCTCAGGTGTGCTGGAAACTGTGGTGTTTCACGTCAGGTGTTGTGTGTTTTTTATCTTTGGCATTCTCATCAGGCTGTCAAACCTTCCGCAATGAAGACAATGCTTAATCATTTACCTCATGTTCCCTCACATATTGTGTTTTGCATTCCTCCATCTTTTGTAGTCTTTGACATATAATTCCAGCACAACTACTGCTCTTACTAATTCAAAAGCTCGGGTCAGATGTACAGGACTTGTCCATCAGTCAATTACAGTGTCCGCCCACTAATGAGTGAAAATGGTCCACTGTAAGAAAAGCAATGTGAGTTATGGTTTCAAAGGTTAGATTCATTTTAGAAGTTTGTCCTATCCTAGTCTTCTTAATCGTGAGGGAAACAAATGATGAGTGGTAAATAAAGACACTGATTAATATGACCAAGCCTGCTAGGTTGCACTAGCAAACAATGAAATTCAGTGCAATCCATCTGAGTGCAACGTGCAGGCTCGGTGATACTCACATATACTGTAGGGTGCGTATAACTAGGACCCGTTGTGTTTGCACTCAGCATGTGGGAATTCCACTCTGAAATATACTGGAGGCCCCAACATTTAATAGGCTCCAACACCCACAGAGCCACCCTTTATCTCTAGAAGAACTACGTCATGTAATATCTGACCTAGTTTCTCAAAATGCGGATATTATTATGTACAGTAAGTGTACACAAGAAAAAAGTGGGTGAAAAATGTATTGAGCGAACCTTGTAGCAGTATTTTTCTGAAAGAAGTATCCAGAGAGACCGAAGATGTGGATAGCTTTTCGGTATGAGCAGCATGAATGACGTGATGTTAACTAACCCTGATAGAAATCATAATGCTCATGTGATGCCAATGGAGTGTCACTTTGTCAGTACCAAAATAGGGTTAGGTTATTCCTTATAAGGCACAATCCTCAAAAAAGAAGTAAATCTTTCTTTTACATAGGAGCTTTAAAGAGCTTCCTAGTAAAACGCTTGCTAGTAAAATGTGCCCTATTCACTTCTCTTTCTCTTCAAATACTTCATTTGGAAACAGGATATTAATGTTTTGGAGCATACAAATGTAGTGTACATTTGTTTTAAGGGAAGTCCCTCTAAGCTCTACAGGCTGGTGAGTCAGGGATATGTGGAGTTTTAACTGCTTCTAGCTGCCTTTAGTGCAGACATGGAGATGACAATTTTTGTTTCCAGTCTTAAACAGTCCACACAGTGTGCAGTGACTGCTAGTGGGTGGGTACCAAGGGGGACTAAGCAGAGACAAATGAATTCAGTCAATAGAAGATTACAACATGTGGTTTAGTAATTTTAACATAATTTGAAATATCTGAATGTTTCTTAATAGTATAATTTTGCTGGCAATCAACATGTACTGTTAATTCAACTTAACTGTTCTTGATGCATATACACCACAGTGAAAATGTAAGTAAGTAAGCAGCTGGGGCTCCTGGACCTCACTTCATTCGAAGGAGCAATGCTCTGGCACATACTGTAGGTGTCTGATGAAATCAGCAAAATTGGTCAGCATGGCCTGTAGCCTATTCATAGCACCAAAATAAAGTTCAGGTAAATGTGTTTATTGAGGTGCTGTCGAAGGGACAGTGGAAGAATAGCGAATGTGATATCTGAGCTCACCGCACCCATGATTTGTCAGTGTGACTGGATGTGTGATGATCAGTGGATTTCCTGTTTATTTGAGTGTTTCAGGTATGGAAATCAGATATGAGAAGTTCAAAACTTCCTTTATAATTTTTGGTATAAGAGGAAAGAACCATGTTTGAATTAAAACAGAATCGTCAACTCTGATGATATGAAGGCTTTGAAGCTGAGGTTAGGAGCACTGATATCCATGTGCTGCTAACAAAGCAAAACATAAAAACTTTTGATATTAATTTCAAATTAACGTGACACATGTGTGTCGAGTGATTTTATCAATCCTTTCCTCAGCCGGTTTTCTTTGCATTTTCAAATGAGTATTAATTTCCTACAGTAGCTTTTCAGGAGTCGGATTTCTCCTTTCGCTGCTGAAGATTAGTCCTCACATGGAGACACATAGCATCAACACACAGGTTTCACCAAGGGAGTGCTCATATTGAGAGTTTGCCGTGACTCAGGAGTGTGAACCGAGCGGGCTGCTACCAATCCTGTGTCCATAGGCGCTGGACTTGCTCATTCGTGGCACCACCTGTGAAGAAGCTCGTGGTTCCCTGTTGACTACTGACTCCTGCAGTGGGCTCACCTGCTGCAGCTGAAGAGAGCAGGTGTAGCTGCCTGTTCTTCCCCTGGCCTGGTGTTGTCACAACATAATGCTGGCATATAATACCTGACAGGTCTC